AAAAAAAAAAAAAAAAAAAAAAAAAAAAAAAGAAGAGTTGCATGCTCTACCAACAGAGCCAGATTACTGGTCACCAGGGGCTGGGAGTAGGGGAATTAGGGAGTAGCTGCTAATGGGTAAGGGGGTTTTGTTCCGGGGTGATGAAAATGTTCTAAATTTAGACTGTGGTGATGGTTATACAACTCTGTGACTGGACTAAAATCTGCCAAATTATACATTTTAAATAGATGAGCTGTATGGTTTAAGAGCTATATTTCATAAAAGATGTATAAAGTGATTTTTTGAAAAGGGCAGAGGTGGCATCAGTGGAAATCCCTTCAGAGACCCTGACAATCAATCCTCCCCAACAATAACAAAGTACTCCTCCTCCTCACTGTGGTATCAGCAGAGCCTAGGTAGGGAGCCTGGACTATCACCAGCACCCATCGGTAATGCAGTACCCCTGACCACCACTGCTCGCCCTGTTATCAGTAGAGGCAACAAGGTAGGGATTTCCACCCCCACCAAGTTGTAGGGAGACACATGTCCTCTGTTCCAGAGAGATAACAGAACTATCTTCCTAGAGAGATAAGAGAAGATAGGAAGTCTAGGAATTTTGCAACTGGTGGTAGAGTCAGCACCCCACTTCCCCACTGGCCTGGCTAGTATGGAGGCCTGCTAAAACAGATTTAAATAAGACTTCCTGTCTGATAACATAAGAGCAAAAAAGTCCAGAATACCAAAGGAAATCAATCATACTAAGAGCTAGGAATGAGAAGAGGCAATCAACAGACACCAACACTGAGATGACACAGAAGTTGGAATCGTCGGACGAGGAGTTTAAAGCAGACATCATCAAAACACTTCAATAAGAAATTACAAACACTTTTGAAACAAATTGAAAGTTTCAGCAGAGAAACAGAGGATGTAAAGAATAACCAAATAAAAAAACTGAAATGGAATAATACAATAACTAAAGTAACAGTCTCATGAGATAGGCTCAAAAGAAGAATGGAATGAACAGAATAAAAAGAATCAGTGAATCAGAGAAATTACCCAATCTGATCAAAAGAAAGAATATATACTGAAAAAAAGAGGAGTTTGAGGGACCTGGGGGGAAATTACAAAAGCTCTAACATTCATGCAATTGAAGACCCAAAAGAAGAGGAGAAAGCAGATGGAGCTGAAAAAATAGATGGAGAAAAAATGGCTGAAAATTGCCCCAAATTGGCAGAAGATATAAACTTAGATTCAAGAAGGTGATCAAACTCCAAGCAGGATAAACCAAAAGAAATCCATGCCCAGGCACATCATAACCTAACTTTGGGAATAAAGACAAATAAAAGTCTTGAGAGCAACTGGAAAGGAAAGGAAATGACTGATTACCTGGTGTGGGGGGGGGGGCTATTTGAATGAGAACAGAGTTCTCACCAGAAACCATGGAGGCCAGCAGGAAGCAGCACATTTTTCAAGTGCAGAAAGAAAAGTACTGTCCAACCAGAATTCTGTATCAAGTGAAAATATCTTTCAGGAATGAAGGTGAAACCAAGACATTCTCAAATTAAGGAAAACCAGAAGAACTGATCACCAGCATACTGACCCTAAAAGAATAGCTAAAGGAAGTTCTTCAAACAGAAAGGAAATGAACCAAAAGGAAAGTTGGGACATCAGGAACATAGGAAGAACAAGAGTAAAAATATGGGTAAATAAAATAGATTATCCCTTTAGATATTACGTTTGTCGGTTGAAGCAAATATTATGACATTGTTTAGTATAGTTCTCAAAGTATGTAGAGAAAATATGTAAGACAGTTATATTATAAAGGTGGGGGTTGATAACAAACCTAGATGGTGGTAAGGTTCCATTTCTGTTTTCCTTTTTAAGAAGGCTCCACACCCAATGTGGCGCTTGAACTCACGACCATGAGATCAAGAGTTGCATGCTCTACCAACAGAGCCAGCCAGACGCCCCAGTGGTTAAGGTTTCTGTATTTCACGTGAAGTGATAAAATGTTGAGACCACACTGAAAGGTCTTCCTTTTTAAAGGTTGCTTCCCGAGAGCAACCACTAAAAATCTACACAAAGATACACACTCAAAACCACTACAGAAAAATCAACGTGGAATTCAAAAAAATGTTCAAGTAATCCACAGGAAACAGAAAATAAAACAGAGGAACCAAAAAACCAGAACAAACAGAGAGGCGCCTTGGTGGCTCAGTTGGTTGAGCCTCCAGCTTTGGCTCAGGTCATGATCTCACGGTTTAGGAGTTTGAGCCCCTTATCGTGCTCTCTGCTGTCAGGGCAGAGCTGGCTTTTGATCCTCTGTTCCTCCCTCTCTCTACTCATGCATGTTCTCTTTCTCAAAAATAAACATTTTAAAAAATCTATACAAAGGGGTACCTGGGTGGCTCAGTTGGTTAAGCATCCAACTTTGGCTCAGGTCATGATCTTACTGTTTGTGAGTTCGAGCCCTACCATCGGGCTCTGTGCAGATAGCTTCGAGCCTGGAGCCTGCCTGGGATTCTGTGTCTCCCTCTCTCTCTGCACCTCCCCTGCTCATGCTCTCTTTCTCCCTGTTTTGAAAACAAATATTTTACCTTCTCTGCCTGACTTATTTTGCTCACTTGTGGGGATGAGCACTGGGTGTTATATGGAAACCAACTTGACAATAAACTATTTGTAAAAAATTAAAAATTAAAAAAATAATAAAAAAACAAAAATAAAGATTTTAAAAATGAAAATATTTTAAAAATCTACACAAAGATATACACTCAAAACCACTATAGAAAAATCAACCTGGAATTCAAAAAAATATTTAAGTAATCCACAAGAGAACAGAAAACAAAACAGAGGAACAGAGAGAATAGAAAACCAACAACAAAATGGCAGACTTACGCTAAATCATACCAAAAGTTACACTAGCTATATAAGTGGCCTATATATTCCAATTAATAGACAGAGATTGAAAGAGTGTATTAAAAAATGACACAACTATATGTCATCTATAAGAAACCCATTTCAAATATAGTCATATGTAGAAGTTACAAGTAAAAGGATGGAAAGACATACAACGTAAATGTGAATCAAATGAAAGCCAGAAACTATATTCATATTAGATCATGCTGACTCCAGAGCAAACAAAACTATCAAAGACAAAGTGGGACATTAAGAGATGCTAAATTCACCAAGAGACAGCAGTCCTAAATATGAATGTACCTAGCAAAAGAGCAAAACTGCCAAAAAGCAAAGCTGACAGAACTGAGGGGAGAAATACACAAATCCAGAATTACAGTTGGAGGATAAAACTACTGAAGAACACTCAACCAGTAGGACTCAACAACAGCATGATAAACAGCACGCAAGTACCCATGAAACATTTATCAAGATAAACCATATCCTTAGTCTTAAAACAAAGACTCTCCCCTTGGTGGCTTTGAAAAAGTAAAGCTGCCATGTTTTGAGAGGATCTATGGAGAAGGCCAAAAGGTAAAAACACTATGAGTCTCTAGGGGCAGGGGAAAGTCGGTCTTCCATCAAAAAGCCAGCAAAGAACCAAGGACTTCAGTCCTCTAGCTGCAAGGAGATGAATTCTGCCAACAACCCGAATGAAGTTGGAAGTGAATTCATTCCTGGTAGAACCTCTAGAACACAGCCCAGTCAGCACACTGACTGCAGCCCTGAAAGACCCTGAACAGAGAGCCTAGGGATGCTGTGCCCAGACTCCTGACCCACAGAGACTGAGATAATAAATGTATGCTATTTAAGCCACTAATTTTTTTCAAGTTTTTTTTTTTAGATTTATTTATCGAGAGGAAGAGAGAGACAGAGAGAGACAGAGAGAGGGAGGGAGAGGGAGGGAGGGAGAGAGGGGGAGAGGGGGAGAGGGGGAGGGAGGGGGAGGGGGAGAGAGCATGCACGCAAGCATGAGCAGGGGAGGGGTAGTGAGAGAGGGAGAGAGACAATCCCAAGCAGTTCCTGCACTAATAGTGTGGAGCCTGATGTGGGACTCGAACTCACGAACTGTGAGTTCATGTCCTGAGCCGAGATCAAGAGTTGGATGCCTAACTGAGCCACCCAGGTGCCCCTTTAAGCCACTAATTTTGTGATAATTTGCAATGTAGCAATAGGTAACTAATATACTCCTTTTCTTCTGTAGCTAAGGAAGTCTACTCGTAGAAGTGAAGACACAATGTCAGTTTCTCCTCATTTAATTATCACAGAGGAAAAGTCTGTAGGATCCACTGAACCATTACCAAGTCCATAGAACCCTGGCACTTTGCTGTCCTTGGGGCAGAAGATGACCAGCCTCACAGGACTGATGCATTCTCCTCGGGCTGGAATGTAAAGACCCATCAAAGCCCACAGCCCAGATCTTCAATGTAGCCCTTCCTTTCTCCCGTCCGTAGCCTCCTCATCAATCTCTATTTGCACTGCCTCCCACCTGCCAATTTAGCTCTTTCAATCACAGCCCAGATCTTTGGGTCCTTCCCCATCTCCCAACTCTGACTTCCCTTTGAATCCTTGCTTAGGGAAGGCTTCATATTCTAAAGCAAGGCACTTAAAAGTGTCATCACCAAAATGAAATCAGTGTGAAGGTTACTGTTTTCCCAAAGGGAAAAGAAAATGGAATCTTTCCTAAAAACTGAAAAGTTCGTAAGAAAACAAATCTGTCCACTGGCACGTAGTTTAATCCTCACACCTCTGATATCTGGGCATTGGAGGTATACAGGCCTAAGTCTAAAAATTGAGTATCTGATCTCACCTCAGCAGGCTTCTTGTGTTGTTTTGGAATTTTTGACTTGCTCCTATACATTGAGCTGGGAGTGAAGGAAGTGGAAGGACCTGCAAAAGATAATCAGGAAAAAAGAAAAACCACCGAGACTTATTATTTGCTGATAGTACTAAATGTTATATAACTCAATGTCATCCAAGAGAATATGAAAGGTATTATGGAGAAGAGCAGAGTGATCTCATACCACTGAAGAAAACAGCTAAATTGCAATCAAGAAAGACTCATAATGGAGTTTAACGACATTTACAGATGACCTCCCATCATGTAAAAGCTTTGACACTGCTAATGCTGAGGAGATTTGATTTGGTGTAATCATACCTCATACCATTTTGGAATAACATGATTCATGTTCCACCTGGAGAAATAGTATCTTCAAAAGCAAGTGGAAAAACTAAAAATGTGAGGCAAGTAACCTGCATCTTTCAGCCCCCCCCCCCCAATTCAATGCTACTGTTAAGGAGGTTATTGTCTTTTACAAATGATGATTCATCCCATCAAACATTTAATACCTGAGTTACAATTAGACTTATAGGGCTTACAGTTTATGCTCCTGTACTTTTTTGTCCTTTCTAGAAAAGCACTGTTTAAATCATTATTAGCTTTGGCTTCTGTTGGTTTGGTAAATGAAAAGTGGAAAAAAAAAAAAAAAAAGGCACTACGCCACAAAAGAAACCCAATTCTCCCACCTAATGTATCTATTTCTAATGAAATTTAAATGAATAAGAAAAATAGTACCCCAAGCTTTCTTTGCTAGAAACATTTTGTTAACCATTGAGAGAAACATGAAACAGCTTAAGTCAAAGAATAAATCCTCAAAGAGCACAGATACAGAGGTTGCCAACTGTCGGCCAGTTCTACTCACACTCATCTGAACTGTCACTGCTGCTGAGGGTTCTGTGGCGTTTCATCCTGGAGCATCCTGGGAAAGAGAACAACACCGAATAAAACAATCGACACACACGACATCCATCCCAGGGGGCAGTCGACACCGCCCTGTAGATCCCAAGGAGCAGCAGCAGGCAATCACACAAATCAAATGATCTCTGTCAAGAGTATTCTCAAATGACCTTCAGTGATGGGAGAAGAGTGCTATCACCTTTTCCAGTACAGAGGGTGCCAAAGACTGGGGAGGCCACATAGGATCCTCAGGAGGAAGCCCAAGCAGCAGTGGATCAATGGTCCAGAATTGGCTGGAGCCTCAGATGTGGTCACACCACTGTGTCACAAAGAAAGGCAGGTAGCCATGGGGCCATCACCAGCCAGGGAATCCCTATCCAGTCCGGGAGGAACAGGAAAGGGAAAAGCATTTGTAAGGCAGAGCTGTCAAGGTCAACAAGTGAGGCATGTCCTACATTTAAGAGCACAACCACACTGCTTTTCTGTCTGCCTCTTTCCCCCTCTTTCTTCCTCCTTGTCCCCATCCCCCAACTAGCCTAATTTAAAAATTATATCTATATTTACATCACAACGACTATTATAAAAAAGCACCTATATACTGTGAAAAATGCATAATGGTTTTGACTAAAATTTCAGTGTCCTTCTTTGTGTGTGTGTGTGTGTGTGTGTGTGTGTGTGTGTGGCCAATGGCAGATAAAAAAGAGGCGCCACTTTTCTGGCAACATACGGGCACTAGAGTATAAGAAAAAAGGAAGGCATTACAAGTTACAATGGAAGTACGGAAAAAAATGGAAAGTAAAGACAGTGATACAATCAGTAACTGACATTCTTTTATGTGCCACAGTACACAAGATGCTATTAGGGGCAATCACGATTCCACAAGGAATAAAGGTCAGGACTACTGCTTTCGAGCCACTCACAATCTACCAAGGAGATAGAAACCCAAGTACAAGGCCACTGTGAACAATCAGAGAGTAACGGAAACAAAACTGTATGTTAAAAAGACTAATAGAGGAAAGTTCCATTTCTGGCATGAGAGTGTGAAGAGCTTCAACAACCCGCTTCACAGTGAAACTGGTGAAAATTACTCAAAAAATAAACAAAAGACTATTCACTTAAAATCTCTGGAAATGGCTCAAAGGGCAGACAGCAAATGAAGCAGCATTAAAGAAAATCGACTAAAACTCAGTAAGTAAAGAAAGAATTTGTGGTATATGGACCTAGAACAACTCTCCTTCACCCCTTTTCCCAGCACAGATCTCATACCAGACCGGTGCGGCCAAGGTCACAGAGCTCTCTTTCCCCCAGCTCCCAGTTGTAAGGCTTTCTTCCTGGGAGGAGCAGGGTGTCAGCGTTTTTCATCTGGCCCCAGCCATCTGTTGCTGAGGCTAAGTTTTAGACAAGGGGAGCTGCAAGGTGGGGCCTTTGTTCTCCCCCCACTCCTGGGATGGGGGCTACACCTTGCGTGTGGTGCCACCAAGGCGACAGAGGTTCCAACTGCCCTGACTCCAGCTCATCGAGTGGGCATGCTATGTCAGGAGAGGCAAACCTAGGAGACCTGGGGCTGCCACTCAGAAGGAAGTACATCATCGGCTCCCACTCCCCACCCTGGAGCTGTGGCTCTGAGATTTTTCCCAGGGGGAGAAGCGGACCACAGAATAGAGGGCTCCAAATCTCTCCCCAATGGAGTTGACTTCAGCCAGGAGGAATAGTCTGGGGGTCAGAAAAAAATCTCAAATACTTACTTCAGGAACTATCCCTTCAAAGGAGCCCCAACTTGACTGGATCAGTCTGCATAGCCATTTATGTCCCAGGGAATTATTAAAAACAACAGAGCAATCAACCAGTAAGTAGTTCAGTTTAACAGCTCAGTGTAGTGAGAAAAAGACAGTCCACAAGAGCCCTGCCAAAACCAGTAGCCTCCCCAGGTGACCGGGGCATGCCAAAGACTGCACCTCTAAGAAACATCAAGACTTACACTGCAGGGCAAAGGTGGGGAGTAAATAGACTCCAGTAAAATAATCCAGTCTGTCCTTAAAGAAGAAAACAAGCAAATAACAATAAAGAGCCCGGGGGGGGGGGGATGCCAATACCCAGTGTTGCTACCTTATATTATCTAAAATGTCCAGTTTCTAACAAAAAATTATGGGACATGCAAAGAAATAGGAAAAGTATCACCTATACACCAGAAACAAGAGCAAGCAACAGAAACTGCCTGTCAGAGCAACCAGATACAACAGGTAAAGACTTCCAAGTAGCCATAAAAGGGACGCCTGGGTGACTCAGACCGTGACTTTAGCTCAGGTCATGATCTCCTAGTTCGTGAGTTTGAGCTCCGCGTTGGGCTTTGTGCTGACAGCTGGTTCAGAGCCTGGAGCCTACTTCGGATTCTGTGTCTCCCTCTCTCTCTGTCCCTCCCCAGCTCTCACTCTCTCTCAAAAGTAAATATTAAAAGAATTTAGCCATATAAATATATTCAAAGAACTAAAAAAAACCCCCATGATTAAAGAAGTAAAGGAAGTAAGGATATTAATAAAGAGGTAGAAAGTATAAAAAAGAATCAAATGGTAATTCTGGTATTGAAAAGTACAATAACTGAAATGAAGAATTCACTAAAGGGGCCCGACAGTAGATCTGAACTGGAAGAATAAACATTAGTGAACTTGAAATAGATCAATAGAGATTATGCAAGCCAAAGAACAGAAGAGAAAAAAGATGAAGAAAAACAAAGCCTCAGAGAAATGTGGGACACCATTCGGGTGTACCAACGTATATGCAATGGGAGTACCAGAAGGAAAGAAGAGAGAAAAAAGCAGAAAAGAATATTCAAAAAAACTATGGCTGAAAAATCCCCAAATTTACTGGAAAACACTGATCTGCACATTCAAGAAGCTCAACAAACTAAGTAATCTATACTGCCACCACCACTGCCACGTGCAAAGAGACCCGCAAACAGGTACGTCACGGTAGAACTACAGACAAGGAGAGAATCTTCCAAGTGGCAAGGGAAAAGGGACTCCTCCCTTAACAAGGTAACTCCAACAAGATGAACAGTTGACTTCTCATCAGAAGCCATGAAATCAGAAGGCAGTGAGATAAGATACTCAAAGTGCTCTTTAGGAACATTTACACATACCAGCGAGTATATTAAGAATTATGAAACTGTACATTTTATGTATTTTTAATTTTTATTTTGAGAGAGTGCATGCATGAGTGTGAGTGGGTGGGAGGGTCGGCAGAGAGAGAGGGAGAGAGAGAATCTCAAGCAGGTTTCACGGCCTGTGCAGGGCCAAATGTGGGGCTCAATCTCCGGAACCGTGAGATGATGACCTGAGCTGAAATTAAGAGTCATATGCTTAACCAACCGAGCCACTCACGTGCCCTGAAATTGTAGATTTTAAGTGGCTTAACTGTATGGTATGTAAATTATATCTCAATAAAAGCTGTTATTAAAAAAAAACTAATAGGATTGGCAAAGATATCAAAATCATTAATCAAAATTCTATTTGTCCTACTGTTAAAGTCAACTGAGTATTTTTTTAATTGAGAGATAACTGACACATGAGGTTATATTAGTTTCAGGTATACAACATAATGACTCAATGTTTGTACACATTGTGAAAGTTGAAGACTATTTTTTATTTATTTTTTAACATTTATTTTTGAGACAGAGAGAGACAGAGTATGAGTGGGGGAGGGTCAGAGAGAGAGGGAAACATAGAATCTGAAACAGGCTCCAGGCTCTGAGCTGTCAGCACAGAGCCTGACGCAGGGCTTGAACCCACAGACTGCGAGATCATGACCTGAGCCAAAGTCGGTCACTTAACCAACTGAGCCACCCAGGTGCCCCTGAAGACTATTTTTTAAACCGAATGTTAACCTCTCATCATAAAAATTGGGGGGGGGGGGGGCTACATTTGTCTCCTTAGTGCAAAACTTAAGACATTCAAACACTGTTCTGAAATGCAAACAAAGCCAAAAAATAACAAAACACTTCCCATTGAATATTAATATGTAATTTAAATGAATTCACAATGAATGCAAAAACTGAAACAAAAATAAAAGTAATATATTTCGTAACTATTCCCTATTGAATGCACTTATTCCCTATTGAGCAATTTGTCTGTTATCATTGCTTTGTGCCACATATGAACCGTTCCAGATAAATGCTATGGCCTGAGAGCTTTTCTCAAATAGCCACTTATTAGTATTTTATTGTTGCAGTAACAAGTTACCCCAAACTCAGTGGCTTAAAAATATACAAATTTATTATCTTGCAGTTCGGTGGGGCAGAAGTCGGCTACAGGTATCATCACTGGGCTAAAATCAAGCTATAAGCAGGGCTGTGTTCCTTTCTGGAGACTCAAGCAGAGAATGCATTTCCTTGCCTTTTCCATCTTCTAGAAGCCACTCACATTCCTTGGATCCTGGCCATCTTCCTCAATCTTCAAAGCCAGCAACACCGCATGTTTCTGACCCTGCTTCTGTCATCACATTTCATTCTCTGACCCTCTCTTCTGCCTCCTCCCTCCACTTTTAAGGGCCCTTGTGATTACGTCAGGCTTACCCAGCAAATCCAGGATACTGTCTGCATTTTAGAGCCATCTGATTAGCAACCCTAATTCTCCTTTGCCATGTACCCTAACATAGTCACAGGCTCCAGGGTTAGGGCACAGACAGTATTCTGCCTACCACAATCTATTATCTTTTTGCACTATTAAAAGCAAATGTACTCCCACACAAATATGCCAAATAGATTTTTGACAAAGGTAGAAAAGTTATTCAATGGAAGAAAGACAGCATTTTCAACAAATTGTCCTTGCACAATAGTCCCCCCCCCAAAAAAAATATTCTCAAAAACTAAGTCTCATACCTTATACAAAAATTAACTCAAAATGGATCATGGACTTGGACTTGAATGTGAAACTATAAAACTTTCAAAAAAACATAGGAGACAATCTTCAGGATCTGGGGCTAAGCAAAGAGTTCTTTAACCTGACACCAAAAGCATGATCTCTCAAA